ATCGGGCCACATGTCCCGCCCACTGCATTTTGCTGAGCCTGCTTTCGACAACAACATCTCGGACTCCAGACTGCTGTCCAATTATTTCATTGGGGATGTGATCGCGGAGCGAAATGCCCAAAAATGTTTGTTCCATTGCCCTCTGTGTGACAGACAGTTGATGTTCTTCAGTCTTTGTCAGTGACCATGTTTCGCTGCCATTCAGCATCGCTGGAAGCACGGTCGAGTTAAAAATATTTGCACGAGTTGTTTTGCTGATCTTTCCTTGGAGGATGTCCCTGATGTCATTGAATGTGCACCATCCAGCTTTTTTTCTGCACGACAGTTCGCCTTTCTGATCGTGGATCATGTTGACTTCCTGGTCCAAATAAACATATTTGTCGCCCTCTTGGATCTGCTCTCCTCCAAGAGTTATTTGGGTTCTTGGCAGAACATCCGATCTCATATATTTCATTTTTGACTGGTTCATTTTTAATCTGACTTGACTACTTTTCGCGTTCAGTTCTTTAAGCACTCTCTGAAGCTGGACTGTATTTTCAGCTATCAGCACTATATCATCTGCGAACCTGAGATGGTTTAGCCGCTCGCCGTTGATATTAATCCCACCTTTCAGGTCTGCTTGTCGAAAGACCAATTCAAGACAGGCTGTGAATAATTTTGGTGAAACTGTATCTCCTTGTTTCACACCTTTCTCGGTGGGGATTCGGAGGGGAGTATCAAATAGTGATATATCCGTGCTGCAGCCAGAGTTCACTTCCTTTAATAATGTGAAATATTTTGTGCTGTTGCCCTGTTCTGAAAGAGCTTCAAGAACGGCGTTAGTCTCCACGCTATCAAATGCCTTCTCGTAGTCCACAAAGGCAATGCACAAAGGGAACTTGTATTTCCTTGAACGCTCTAGTAGTTGGTTTAGAGTGAAGATGTGGTCTATCGTGCTGTAATTTCTTCGAAAATCGGCCTGCTCTCTAGGCTGCTGTTCATCCAGGTTTCACCACAGTCGATTTTTTATTATTTTGGTGAACAACAATAGACATGCGAAAGCAGGCAGATCGGGCGATAGTTCTTTAGATTTTCTCAATCGCCTTTCTTATGCAGCAAGATGCTATTGGACTCTTTCCAACTGGATGGTATCTTCTGGATTTCCAGGTAATGGCTGAACCTTTGGGCGAGAGCTTTCCAGAGTTCCTGACCTCCCACCTTAAGCACATCTGCTGTCAGACCGTCCTTGCCTGGAGCCTTTCCCTCTTTTATTTGATGGACTGCGTGACGGATTTCGCTGATGAGAACCGGGAGTATGTGTTCATCGGTTTGTTGTAGTGATGGCATTGGGATGTCTATACGGGATGCAAAGAGCTGGGTATAGAAATCCCTGCAGATTGCCTCCATCTCTGTTCGATCGGTTACTGATTCTCCATCCTTGTTCTTGAAAGCTGATAATGATGACCTATACAATGCCAGTTCCCGTTTGCATTTTTTGAGACTTTTATGATCTTCAGCAGCCTTTTCAGTTCGAAATTTCTCGAAGTTTTCCTTCAGCTTCATTCCTATGAGCTTGCAGAGAAGGGAGTACTCAGACCTGTCAGTGCCTTTTCATTTCATTTTCCTCCTCTTCTCCAGTAAGGTCTTTGTATTCTCCGAGATTCTTCCACTAGCTCTTTTTGGTCTTTCACGCTCAGCTGATTTCACGCACCATTCC